TCAATTAGTGCCTTTGTTGTAATTGTTTGTGTAAATCTATGCTTGTTGGATATCATGACACTTGTGGAACTTTTCGTAAACCTTTCTGTATGATTTAAACCTTTGACCAGTACGACTGATATTTTGGGCTAAAAGCTTTCTGTCCAAGTAACAGGTTTATTTCTATTTACTTTTCATACTACGAACATGCGAAAAATATCACTGTTTTTCCTCTAGGAACAGTTTCTTTCGTTATTATGGTATTCGATGCAGTATCAAATGCGCGAAACACTCGATTTACCACAAGATTTGTTGACACAAAGAAAAAGATTAATGTACATATTTGTTTTACTCTGAAAATTTTATCTTTGTATAAAAGCATATAGTGAATACTTATGATTCATATGATCAAACTGTAGTTTAAGAGTTGTTTGCTAACACATGCAAAGTTTTATTTGCATACATATGCAAGTTTTATTTATTCTTTTTGATAGATGCGTTTTTCATATTACGGGCATAAGAAAAATATCATTATTTTCAGCAGATTTTTATTTTTTGTGTAATACCAATGTTGGATTCATGATCATCGAACAAAACTGCGTTGAAGAGTATGTCACACAACTATTTAAAACAAATAAAAAGTACGTTATCATCCAAAGTCATCATCCAATTCAGGTATATAGAACCACTTTGGATGATAATGTACTTTTTATTTGTTTTAAATAGTTGTGTGACATACTCTTCAACGCAGTTTTGTTCGATGATCATGAATCCAACATTGGTATTACACAAAAAATAAAAATCTGCTGAAAACAATGATATTTTTCTTATGTCCGTAATATGAAAAACGCATCTATCAAAAAGAATAAATAAAACTTCTGCATATGTATGCAAACAGTTCTTAAACCCGCCATATATTAAAAGTAGTCACTTATGGGGATGGCAGATTTTCGATCTTATCCGGCGGGATTCTTTGCGCAACCTAAACAAACACGCTGAAATTAAATATATGTAAATCGAGATGAGTAAATATTGTCAAAGATCAAGTACTGTTACCATTGTGAAGTAAACTCATTCCTTACTCATTTTTTCTATCCTTTCTATTTGACACTCGAAGAATAACCACATTGACAATAAAAGTACGGCTGGCAATGCTAATGGCTTTGAAACACTCTATTGATTACTGATATTTGATAGTACTCAATGCAACGTTCTTTTCGATTCATATTTTGTTACAAATTATTACCTATGGTAGTAATTTCATAACAGCTGACACCTATCATTTTTTCTACCTTCTTTTCTTTCTATGGTATCTTTTAGAAAAGTTGTCGTAAAACCATCAGTTATTTCTAAACTGATCTTATTTCAGGAGTGTTCTGTATTAAAATGATATCTCGTGAGCGAACTGCAAGTCTCCAATTGTCTTCTTCTTAAAACATACTCGATTAATTGTAACTTTTGACGCTGATCACGAATCTGACATTCATTTTTGTACGCAACAACCAGATAAATGTTTGTAGAAAGCTGCCAAGCACCTGATCATTTGATTGGCAGTTCTTAGACGGCAAACTGAATTAATGTCACATCTGCTTCATGCTTTTATATCAGTCAATAACTAATATAAAAATGTGAAACGTTGTTTGAAAGTGGCAAGAGAAGACAGGGTCAATAAATCATAATATTGACATGAACGCTATACAAAGAAGAAATGAAGAAAAAGAATATTAGAAAAAAGCGAAATGACACGTCACTATATTACAAGTATATTTAAAACAGTTTGTCTTTGCATGAAAAAGAACTAAACATTTAATGTAAAATCGGTTAATCACTCTTGCAACGCACATGTGAATTTTGGTCAGGTGGAATCTTTTTACCTAATAAAAAAGACAATGCTCTCTGAATTCACGACGTACAATGAAACGAATCGTGAAACGATTAGTTTTCATCATTAGTCTTCTACTTTTTTTATACTTTTGGACCAAGAAGAGTCAACAAAATGATTTTAAATCATTTAATTTTTCATCTGTGATCTATCCATCGCCTTATGACGATAAAACGACATTGATTCGATATTTTGAAAAAACTCAACAATTGATTATTGATGAAGAAAAAGTATCTATCGCTAAAAACCATAAAATAGTTATTGCCAATTCAAGATCAATACCTGATAGTCGGTTTCTTTTACTTGAATATACAAAAATATTTGGACAAGAGAAATTTTGTTCAAAATCGAGTTTAGACATATTTAGTAAACAATGTCCATATCAAAATTGTGATTATACATGCAATCATTCACGTTTAAATGAAGCACAATTAGTATTATTTCATAAATATGATGTAAAAAAAGAACAAATGCCGACAAAAAGAAATATCGATCAAGTATGGTTATTATGGCATGATGAGCCTTTGTTTCTTGTTTCACATGATTTCAATCAGTATTTATTTAATTGGACAACATCGTATATATTCAATTCGGAAATTTCATTTGGAGCATATGGTTTAACATTATTACGAAATGATAATACAGACATTGATTTTGAACAATGGATCAATGAACAGTATGAAAAACGGTTGAATCAAGCTAGCTGGTTTGTAACAAATTGCGGTGCAAAACGACGTCTCGATTACTATTATCGTCTTCGTCAATATTTTCCAATTATAGTCCATGGAACTTGTGTTGATAAACAAAATTTCAGTTCTTGTCCACGTTTTTCATCATGTGAAACGGATCAATTAAAATCAACTAAATTTTATCTAGCATTTGAAAGTCAGACGTGTAAAGATTATATAACAGAAAAATTTTGGCGTGCACTCAAATACGGAACAATACCCATCGCTCTTGGACCGTTGATGAAACAGTCTTACGAACGTATTGCACCACCAAATTCATTTATTTATGTGGGTGATTATGAAACACCACAATTACTAGCTCAACATTTATATGAAATAGTGAAAAATAAAAATATATTTCGAAAATATCATTTATGGCGAAAGTACTATTGGACTGGTTACTCAGCACAAGATAATGAACAATATCGTTTTTGTGAAGTTTGTTACAAATTGAATACAGTAAATAGTCATATTTACTATACAAATATTCATGAATTTTTCTCCGATCAGTGTTAGAATTCAAACGATAAGCGATGATATAGATAAGCAAATACCATTATTTTGTACAGAAAAATGTGCTCATTCTAATGGTGAAAATCGCTTTTGCAAATACTGTTTAGTTTTAAAGTTATAGCCATTTTACTATATCTATCTGCATAAATCATTATAGTTTCTAGTTTATCAGAGTCTGATGATATCAATACTATCATATGAATCAACAATTTTCCTAAATTCTGATCAATTGTACTGGTCAAAGGTTTAAATCATACAGAAAGGTTTACGAAAAGTTCCACAAGTGTCATGATATCCAACAAGCATAGGTAATACACAATCAATTACAACAAAGGCACTAATTGAATATTGTAAACAACAATCAACAGAATACATAAAGATTTGCATTGAAAGTCAAAACACAAGAACGATCGAAATTGTACATGAAACAAGACAATTATTACAACAAACAAATCTATCATTACCATTCTATTGCTTTCGAGACACAGACGATAATTGAACTAAAAAAAAGAAGTTTTAAGAAGATAAAAGAATTTTTTCAGACAGAAGACAAAAGTCACGGGTTCTCATTGTAGTTTACTTTCCAATAAACTAGCTTCAAGGGTTCCTCTTGCGCCTTAAGGGAGGAGTCCCTCCACTCAGTTTTTCCTATGAGTTTATAGAGGACACTTTGAAGTATATATTTCAATACTTTTTTCGGGTACCAGATCTGTAGTTTTTGAGAAAATAATTTTTTAAGTTTAGTCTTGGTATTTTGCTCTATTCTTAAAAGTTTAATAAAATTTTCAGATTTCTACATATAACCTCGGTTTTGATGTCAATCGATAGAGGACATCAGGATGTATCTACAAAAACTTCAGTCAAGCTTTCGGTCAAGCTTTGACTGACGAGGGAACATATGTAACTGACCAATCGTTTATTTAATGAAATCTAGTGGAGTATAGGTAAAACATAGTGCTGAATCCGAATATCGGCATGAGACGGGTCGCTAGGTCTTGCGAGTACCGCATATCTGGGAAACCAGGTTTCCAGAGCCAGAAACTTTTTGTTCCAAAACTTTTTTCTGATCTGTCTCGATTGTAGAGCACATCGAAAAACCTATAAAAAACTAGTTTTGGGGTTTTCTAAAGTGTTTTTGCTCCCTCAAAAACTCTTAGCGTATGGAAAAGAGACAAAAAGTCCGTCTGGCGGGCTGTGGAAGGGTTCCAAAATTCTGAAAACTAGTTTTTTATAGGTTTTTCGATGTGCTCTACAATCGAGACAGATCAGAAAAAAGTTTTGGAACACAAAGTTTCTGGCTCTGGA